CAGCCCCAGGGAAAACAGTTGTGGTTCGTGTTGAGGGTCGCCCACCAACCCCTCATTGTGAAAGTCCCAACATCTAAGTGTAAAATGGCAAGCACACATTGTGTCTACGTGACAGGAAAGCTAGATGGCCAAAAGTGCAACTTTGTCATAGATTCTGCATCTCAGCAAACCCTTGTGAGTATCAAGGTGCTAGATCACAAAGGAGTACCAGAAGCCATACGGAAACTCTATAGTGTGACAGGACATTATGAAAGGTTGTGGGGACCAGTGTGGGTAACTATTGAGCTCATGGGCATAAATGACAGACACAAAGTATACTTGGCTGCCATTGAAGCCCCATGCATAATAGGGTTGGACTACTTACAACCGAGGAAGTGTATAGTTAACTTTGATAAAATGATGTTTGGGAACAACAAAGACCAAATTCCATTAAGTGTTAAAAGAGAGGTTGAACTAACCAGGTGTAATCAAGCTGAAGTCAAAGTGACTGAAGGAGTTGATGATGGTGAAGTAGAACCAAGTATAGATATTAAAGCAGAGCAGGAGAAAGATCAAGATTTGAAGCCAATAATCGATTTTCTACAAGCAAGTGTTTTGCACCCTGCTTGGGAGAAGGTGTCTAGATTAAGCCCTGTGACAAAGAACTATCAGGCACAATGGGACCAGTTGAAGCTTGAAGATGGTAGTCTTGTCCAGATATGGGAAAGTGACGACCTGGCAACAGATATACCGAGAAAGTTACAGGAAGTTGTGCTACGTCAATCCCATTATAGTTTAACAGGAGGTCATCTCGGAGTTAAGAAGACATTGAGTGACCTACGGCAGATATTTTACTGGATAGGTATGAAGCAAGATGTGGAAGAATGGTGCAGGACCTGCAGTACATGTTGTGCTAAAAGGGGACTCAAGCACAAGGGACGTGCTTCAATGAAGTTATATCAAGTTGCTGCACAAATGGAAAAGAGTAGCTGTTGACATTGCTGGTTCTTTGCCCCAAACTCGTGCTGGAAACAAGTACATTTGTGTGGTGATGTATCATTTCACCAAGTAGCCTGAGGCATATGCAACACCAAATCAGGAAGCTACAACTGTAGCTTTGGCTATTAGTGTATTTCTTCTTCAGGTTTGGTATGCCATACGAACTGCATTCACATCAA